TTATTATTATTTATTATTATTATTACTGTTATTATTATTATTGTTGTTGTTATTTAATTTAATATTCATTTATTTTATTGTTATTATTATTTATTATTATTCTTCCTGTTATTGTTGTTGTTATTATTGTCATTTATCTGGTTATTCACTGTGTATTGATGCATTTATCCCCCAAACCCCCTCCTCGCGCTCCCATTGGCTGATCCTGTACCGTGGGAGGCGGGCCCGATCCGTCTCCACCAATCCCCAGCGCGCCCCGGGCCTCCAGGCCCCGCCCACAGCGTCAGGACGCGCCACGCAGGCCTCAGGCGCTCCCATTGGCTGAAGCCCCGTCTCAGGAGGCGGGCTTGGGCGCCCTGGAACCAATCGCAGGCGAGCCCAGCCCAGAATAACCTGGACAGCCGTTGCTACGCAACGCCTGTTGCCAGGCAAAGCAGAGGGACGCAGCCATTGGCTCCCAGGAGGGCGGGCCTTAGCTCCAGGGACCAATCACCACGCGAGCGAGGCCTAGAGTGACAGACGAAGCCACTGGGCCGCACAGAGCGCTGCCATTGGCTGCCAGGAGGGCGGGCCTTACCCCCATCCACCAATAGCAGGCCAGCACAACCCAGAATAGCAGCCAGGGCGGTTGCTACGCAACGCCTGTTGCCAGGCAAAGCGCAGGACGCCGCCATTGGCTCAGGGGAGGGCGGGACTTAGTCCAATGGACCAATAGGAAGCGAGTGAGAGGAAAAATGACAGTTAGAGCCTCAGGGACGCACGTTACGCAGCGTGGGGGGCGGGACTAAGGGAGTAAACGCTCCTATTGGGTCCCAGACCACCAGGGGAGGGCGGGACTTAGTAAAATCGACCAATAGGAAGCGAGTGAGAGGAAAAGTGACAGTGAGAGCGTCAGGGACGCACGTTACGCAGCGTGGGGGGCGGGACTAAGTGTCTGCACGTTCCCATTGGATCCCAGACCATCAGGGGAGGGCGGGACTTAGTGAAATCGACCAATAGGAAGCGAGTGAGAGGAAAAATGACATTTAGAGCGTCTCTGACGCATCTGACGCAGCGTAGGAGGCGGGACTAAGGGAGTAAACGCTCCCATTGGATCCCAGACCACCAGGGGAGGGCGGGACTTAGTCCAATGGACCAATAGGAAGCGAGTGAGAGGAAAAGTGACAGTTAGAGCGTCAGGGACGCACGTTACGCAGCGTAGGGGGCGGGACTAAGGGAGTGAACGCTCC